AGGAAATCACGATCTCATGGCAGTGAAGTGCCACACTAATGCACAGAGGGCTCTCAGGCAAAGTACTCCCCACACTGGCAGTCTTGCACTGCAGGTTCTGTACCAGACACCAGGGACTGGCCTCCATGAGCAAAGTCCCCACTCACAGCTGCAACCATTCCAAAGTTCTTCAGAGAAAAGGCACCGGGACACTCACCACCATGGTGCGCCCGATGATGCAGTGAGGGCCACTGAGGGAGATGACAGAGTCCTGAATCTCCACCTGGGCCACTCCTCCCTTGGCAGTCACATTGCCCAGGTCTCCCACGTGCCTGCACAGCAACACAGAAAAAGAAAGCTGGGATGCACTGAAAGCTCTTCCAATGGACAGCTGTGATGTTATGTTGTTCCTACATTTGGATACTCCACCATCCTATCTCCAGGGCACATGCATGTGTCCTCACTCACTCACCACTTTCAGTCAATGACCAATTTTAACTTTTAGTTCAAAGGATGATTAAAATTCAGCCCTAGGCAGAACTTAAGGAAGGTGAATTAGCAGTCCAGAACCAGTGGAGCCACAGCACACAACTCTCTCACAGCCCAGTATCCACCCATGACTGTGGCATTTCCCTCTGCCTGAAGGCTCTCAAATTCAGTGGAATGACCTTTCCTGCACAGACCAGGTTTGCTGGAACACTGCCACTGCTCCCAAGAGCTTTCAACATCCATCCCAGATCAGCTATTCCACAGGCAGCCACAGGCTTTGGGGTTTAAGTAAGATTAGAAAAAATGGTTTGTCAGGGGACAGGTCAAAGGGGAAGTGCACAGCTCCAGCCAGCACCAGGGATGATTATCCTAGTTTGCCTGGCATTTCCCCATCACTTGGCATCCTGCTCTCCCACACAGCTCTTATCAGAGCTTCATCTCCGCTAGGGCTTCCCTAGAGAGTTAGGCCTCAAGCAGCTGAGTTTTCTCTGGACATCTGAACATTCCAGTGTGTTGTGTTCTGCATATCTATCCAAACAAAACATTCACCCAGAGTACACACTGATGTTGTGCCAGACTCCTCTATTCAGGTTCAGAACCGGGAATACCAAAGCATTCCTAGAACTCTCCATGCAACAGGGTGACAGTCCTCACCACCAGCTCCTTAGCACAGCCTCAATTCCACATTTTTAACCAAGTCCTATAAAATCGGGTCAAGGCCAGCTTTCCCTTTAGGAATTTGCTCAATTGGAAGCTTAATTCCAAGAAGCTTCAGTCCAATTGTCCATTTTGGACACTGTCCAATTCAGTCCAATTGTCCAATCCACACTGACAAAATCATGATCCAGTTCTTGCACCCTCCCAAGGAACTGCCCTTCCTCAGGTGCCTGGGCAGGCAGGTCTGCCCAGGAGCAGGATTTGCCCAGCAGAAGACAGGATGTGGTGCCCTTGGCACCTTTAGCCCCAAGCACACATTGCATGCTGTGTCATGCAGGGAGCTGGCAGGTAGCCAGCTGCTCCACTGGGAGGCCTTATCAGCCACAGGAGGTGTGCAACCCGGACAAGGTGATCGTTGTGGCTCAAGGCATGCCCAGACCCTCCTGTGCAGGGCCAGGCTGGCTCTGACACCTGCTCCCAGCTCCACTCCCCACCACAGGGCCCTCCCAGTCCCCAATTCCAGTAAGCACATAATTTCCTCAGATATCCGAAGGCTCCCAGAGGGAACTGGGCTGTGGGAACTGCTCCCAGGGGGAGAACCAGGTCTCATGTCCCACTGAAGCACAGAGATATTTAGCAGGAGCACGAGGCCCTGCACTGACACACAACCACTGGAACATCTCAGCCAGCAGCCCCCAAACAGCCCAGCACAGCCACCCCAACAGCTCTGCATCATCCTGCAGGGTCCCCTGCAGCCTCAGCACCTTCCACTGCCACACCACAACCTTGCACACAGCCCAGCAGGGGCCACTTCGGGGCCCTGTTGTACAAAGCTGCCCTGGACCAGAACCAAATGTGACCAAACAAGGCTGCAACACACAAACCCCACACTCACCACTCAGTGAGAGCCCTCACCTCTCCTTCGCCAGCCAGGGCAAAACCAGTGACATGTCCCAAAGACGACATTTTACACCACACTCGGAGCCAAAGCATGTCACAAGCTGCTGTTCAGCTATTAAAGCCTTTGCTAAGTGACCTCATGAGTCACTCAGGAATGACCAGGTGTCCCTGGCATTATCCCAGCCCCAGCAGAGCCCAAGCCCTGCACTCACCTCTCGGTGTCACTTGGAGCTCCGTGCTGCTTGCGCTCGGGGTTGAAGTGAGGCCCAGCACTAGTGCACCCTGGAACACAGCACAGCTGTCACAGACACATTCCCTGCAGCAGCCAGCTCCAGTCTGCTGCTCTCACCCTGCTTCCAGGTTCCCAGAGCACTGAGGACAGTCCCTCATGAGGAAACAGCACCTCTCCTGCTCCCTCACGCTGCAAATCCTCTGGGGGTTAAGTCACCTCCTGGTGACTTACACATTCAGTTAGGTAAGATTACTGATTCTAGAACACTCTGGGGTCAGCTGGAAACTTTCCCATTTCCTAACACAGTGCTGTTAGGAATTAGGTGAGTGCTTGCAATGTCAGATCTCAACCTGTCCAAAGCATTACATGGGATGCAGTTTCTCAGGAAATGTCATAACCTCTCCACAAAGACCTGCAACCCTGATACCAGGTACACTTTGCTGCTGCAGCACTACCAGAAGCTCTCCAAAGCTGAACAACCACACCTCAGCTGTGGCTGAAAGCCTGGATGGATATTCCATGATCTTACCATTGGTGTTGTCTCCAAACTCATGGACGTGAAAGCCATGCTCTCCATCCGCCAAGCCAGTGATCTGTCCAGTGACTTTTACTGGTCCGTTACCCTTTAAAGATAAGGATTTATCACAAGGACTTTGGCATCACCTGTGTCTCATGAAGCCGATGGAAAGCACTGGAGGCTACATAACCCCAGCGAAGTGCCAATACAGCACCGCACGGCATTGGCGTTTACTCAACCGCCTCAAAGATCCTTTTCCTATGACTTACCCACAAACACTAGAGATACCTGTTACCCAGCGGGACACTTCCCAGAACGATCCCACACTTCCCTGTGGCACACGCGCGACCCTGCAGCCCCTCCCCCTGCAGACTCGGCTCCTTCGCCGACCCAAGATGACGCTGCTAGAGGGCAGCGGCCATTTGGCGGCCGAACCTCCCTCCCGCCCTCCCCTGGGGCGCCTGAACCCGCTGCCCGTCCCGAAGGCACCGCGGCGTCCCTCGTCCCACGCAGCCCCCGTGGGTGGGGAAGGAAAGGGAAAGGAGAGAAAGGAGGAAG